AAGAGCCCTGTTTTAGACAACCAACTGAAACTCAGAGAAACTGAGTCGCTTACCCAGGTCACTTGGAAAGTTAAACATTTTTCTCATGATGAGCCAAACAGCTATTGTATCTGTTTAGAACATAACTTGCACTCAAACTTGGTTTATATTTTGTGTGTGTGTGTGTGCATGTGTGTGCTTGTGTGCATATGTCTGTGTGTGTGCATGTGTGCATGAGTCTGCATGTGTGTGCCTGTGTGTGTGCATGTGTGTGCTTGTGTGCATATGTCTGTGTGTGTGCATGTGTGCATGAGTCTGCATGTGTGTGCCTGTGTGTGTGCATGTGTGTGCGTGTGCATGTGTGTGCGTCTGTGTGTGTGTGCATGTCTGTGCGCGTGTGTGCGTGTGTGCACCTGTATGTGTGCATCTGTGGGCGTGTGTCTGTGTGTGTGCGTGTGTGTGCACATGTATGCATGTGTCTCTGTGTGTGCGTGTGTGTGTCTGTGTGTGTCTGTGTATGCGTGTGCATGCACATGTATGCATGTGTCTCTGTGTGTGCGTGTGTGTGTGAGTATGTGTGTGCACATGTGTGTTTATGTGTTGTTCTTCTCTTTGGATCATTGTTCTCTTGTTGCCTTGTCCTCATCTATCAAGACAATAATCTGATTCTGTTGTTAATATGTTTGGTATGCATGTGGGTGTATAGACTGAAGATAGGAAATTACTCTAGATCACTGACATAATTTGTTTAATTGGATTACCAGGAAAATCTGGTGAGAAAGATTGGTTAGATTCAAAAATTACAACTTTTTGAAGTACTAGTATAAAATAGTATTTTAAAAAATGTGAGAAGTCCTCCCTCTGAAGATCTCAAGGGCAGAAATCCTTCACTCTGATTTCCAGTTAGTTGAAGGGGCATGTAATCCTTGAAATTCAGACACAATCTGTGGATAGAATAATGAGGAGAAACCTAATTTTAACCTAATAAAATTATGTTTTTATTTCACTCTTGCCACCTGCCTAAATGGGGAGGATGTCAAGATAAAGACAAAAGTTATGAAAAATTAATGGCATATTTTCTACATCGGAATTTGTGATTGATGATGTGATTTGTAGTCTAAGTTAATACATAAATAAAATCTAATTCCTTCTAAATTATATGTGATCTTTCTGGATCAAGAGCATGAGGTGACTTGCTTTCTTTTGAAGAGTACAGCATTTCAAAGTTACACTGAGAAAGGTATTCATGTTACACTACTCTGAGACATCGCTTTGTGGATCAGAGATATCCCACTTCACTAAGGTAGAACCACAGAATAAAAATGTGACTAAACCAATATGATTCTAAGAAAATTCATGTCACTTCTTTCTTCTCTACTTTTGTTTTCTCTTTCTATGCCTTATATGCTTAAGACCTTTTTTTATCTTTCCCCAAATAAACTTATATAATATATATCTGCTTTAAGGTGTCTGTGATGATTCACATTAAGAAAAAAAAAACTGAGAGCTCTCAACATATTAGAAATTTCTGTGAAAGTCTTCTTTAGCTTGGAACACATCACATTATGTCACAGAAACTTGAAAAGTCTATGAGCCATAATTTTAATGTCACAACACAATTCTATAACGGGTAATGCAATTTATATAGAATCAGATTACATATGTACAGGGAGTGAATCTATTAAGGTTAAAACTAAAATCTATCTTTTAATAAAATAAATTATACATTTGTATTGCACAACACACATTTACCTTAAGGTATCTGGAAAATAAAACAACAAAATCAATATAAATTACATGAGAATTCAGTAGCAGAATACTCAGATTCCTTGTGGAATCGTATTGCATCTATTAGTTTGAACCAATAAAAAACACTGGTTTACAGCGTTCACAGTGGGTATGCTCCTCCCACTATGGTTGCATTGTGCATGGGAGGCAGAGGCATATTCTTGAACGGGTAAGTTGCAGCTGTAGCTTTCTTCAGATTGGTTTCTGAAGACCCTTTTCTCTTTGAAGTCGTCTTTAGTAACAACGGTCCTGGCACTGTCAATGTGTCTGTCCAGCCCCATGTATCTATTCCTGTTTGTTCATGGGCATGGGAGAGGTCTGAGTCACTGAAGGGTGTGTCCCCCACTTTCTTGTAGAAACTGGAAAAGGAGCCATGCACACTGGTGCCCAGAGGCAAAGGCAGAACAACAAGGCCCTTCCACCTGGAGGACTCACGTGGAACTTACGTAACCCACCCCCGTCCAAAAATTAAAAAAAACAACAACAAAAAGTGCAAACCAGTTTATCGCGAAAGGAAATGTTTCTGCCTCCCTGTCATTAATTTCCAGTTGTTCTCTTGTTTGACTAGTGGGTAAGAATCTCAGTTCACTTCTCCTACGTTCCAGAAATTTAGCTTCCTTTATTTTTCTATTGGTCGATTTCTATTTAGAGTCCTAATTGAATCAAAGTAGTAGAGATAAATCTCAGTCTTTTGGGATTTTATTTTCACCCCGATGTTTCTGAGACTGAGTGTAAATTTTGCCTACTCCTATGGGGTGATAAGAGTTCTGGGTAAGGACGGCATCTGGTGTTTGGTCATAAACTTACACAGGTGATCACTGAGGCAGCACTTACTCTGGTCAGGGTCACCTGGGAGCTTCAGACCAGGAATTTCCACATTAATTTTATGGTTTACTTACATAGTAGCTAACAAGCACTGAGAGGCATAGTTGCTTAAATGGGATGGGAGCTGGGCAATAAGAACAAATCAAACACCAGAAAAGGAAAAATAAAAGTGTTACAGAATATTTGTGTGTATTACAATCTCATGCTTTTCAGGAGAAAACTAATTTCTTCTCCATCTTCCCAGGTCTACCCCATAGCCCATACTAAATCCTGTGGTCTCTCTGTTCTCTGGAAGGTAAAATCTTGGGCAGCCAACAGACAGGGACAGAAGCTGCTGGGGTTGGGGGGGTTGGGGGGGGCTCTTGAGACTCAGTAAAGCACAGTCTGGGAGAAAGATCATCTTATATAGAGGCAAATGTGATCATTTCTAAGTAGATTTGATGCTGCTACTTTTTTGGCGAATTTATTTTAGAGCAGAGGCTAGTATTTTAGTGCAAGCCACTCTCAGTCATGAATGTAAAAAGTCTAGGCAAGAACTCCCTAAAGATGTTCAGTGGTGTTACACAGAACGTGTTCTGGCACAGGAATGTAGCATGTTATTTTCAGCAGACATTACCCTCCAGAATGGATTCTATTTTAGACAGCATGCTGACTAACGTATAGAGCAGGTTGACAGAAAGATGGATCCATTTAGATAGTTCAGATCTGAACAACAGCAGATTTTCAACTCAAGTTTCAACTTTTTAGAAGGTTTTACCCTTTTGAGTATAGATACCATAATTAGAATTATGCCTGGATTTATAAATTTTTATCCATAAGGTATTTTAAGCTTAAATAAAATTAAACAATTTTAATTTTTCCAAAGCAAAGGTAAACTAATTTTTAAAATTATTTCATTAAAATTCTTTGAATAGGAATTATTTTCTGCCTATATTTTACAATAAAAATTGAATCATTTGATTGATCGGCCCCTTATATAAAATTAAACCATTCATAGTATTTGCATTGTCAGGTTTCTTGGGACCATTTATGCTAACCAATTTTCATAGCTGAAAATTTTTTGCCAAGAAGATATGATACTTGCACAAATAACAAGTATTTGTACATACTGTTATACTTACTGTCAGATCGATTTTTGCTTTATCTCATTTGACATTCCTTTTAAAAATATGCATTTTGAATTTGAGAGAAGACTGATAATCATATTTGTCCCTGAGAAAAGCCTGAACAAGTCCTTTAAGATATTCTAGGATTTCATTCCCAAGTAAAGAGATGCATGAAACGTCCTCATTTCAGTGAAAGAAGCCAGACACACCAAGCCACGTATGTATGATTTCATTTATATGAATGTCCAGAATAGGCAAATCCATAGAGAGAGAAACGATATTAGTGATTGCCAGGGAATAATACAGGGAGGGGAAGAGGGGAATGACGGCTTAAAAGGTTTCCTCTTGGGGTGATGAAAATGTTCCAGAACTAGATAGTGGTAACAGTCGCACAACATTTCAAATGTACTAAAGTCACTGAATTATACACTTTAAAATGGTGAAAATGATGAATTTTAACCACTCATAACCATGTTTTATTAATTTTACCACTTTTTTTAAGTAAAGGGAAAAGGAGGTTCTGAGATTCAAACCTTGGCAATCAAAATAATCTGTCGAATAGAGAAGCCTGTAAACATATTCTGAATACTATTTAATTTTTCTGTCCAATTAGAAACTGAGCCTAATTCTAAATAGTATAAGAGCCAAGAGAAACTGTCTAGGCTGGTATTAACCTTTTTCTTAAATTAAAAATGCTGTCGGCTTGATAGGTGCGGCAAACCACCATGGGACACATTTACCTATCTAACAAACCTGCACGTCCTGCACATGTATCCTGGAACTTAAAATAAAATAAGTGTTATCAGTGTTCATTGTGAAAAAATCAATACAGAAAGAATAAATTATCAATTCCATTGTCTGGAAATCATGTTTTGGGATTTTATATATACACACACACACACACATATATATATGTGTATATTTGTGTGTGTATACATATATGTATATGTATATATATGCACAAACTGTATTTCCCTAAAAAGAGATTAGATATTGTTCGGAAGTATATCCAACTACATAATTTTACCAACTACTCACACTTGTAATTATTTTACTATGTGCAGGCAGGGTTCTATGTACTTTAAGTATATTAACTAATTTAATCATCCAACGACCCCATGAGGCTGGCATTGTTCATTGATTTTAATGAGAAAGCTAAGAGAAGAAATAGGTAGCCTTTCAAAGGTCACACAGAAAGTAAGTGACAGATCCGGGATTCATATCCAAGCATTCTGGCTCTAGCGTCCATGCTTCTCAACCATTATGACCCAACATTCAACCAAATCAATACTGAGGGACATGTGAAATTTATCCAATATTTTGCTATTACAAACAAAAATCCAATGAACATTCTTGAAGCCATACACAAAAATAATGGTTACAATAGAAGTTACTGGAATGGAAATTTTGGTTCAACCTATATTAAATTTTAAGGCTTTTGATATAACTAATACATTTTTGAAATGATCAGTCTTATGCTTGTGGGGGAGCACACTCTTGCATTGGGAAAAGATTCACTGTGAAGCACAGAGCACCTTTTTGGTTGGATCATCTTGTGATTAAAGTTCAGGCGTTATCTATCCTGTAAGTGACAGAATCAAGATTGCAATATTGCCTGCTTTTCTTTTTAACGCATGTTTTCCCTTGACTACACTGCTCCTCAAAGTAAAACCCCTGTGTCAGTGTACTATTCATGGAATACTCTGCAATTGTAACCACCTTCTAATACTTTTAATACCCAATCAAAATGTATTATACATATGTATACATAGATACTCATTTGTAGAGTTGTGCTTCAAAATAGTGATCTCTTCCCAACATTACAATATATATTAATGATGCCGACAATTTGACAATGACCCATTGTCCAAAATATTCCCCATTAGTACAACAAAGACATAATTGAGTATTTCTATTTCCATGCCAGCCTTAAGCACAATTTTGCAATGTGATCATCTTAGAATTATTTAATCTCTAAATACAGCAAAAACAAGAAACCAAGTTAATGTTGTTTTATTACATCCCCCCATATCTGTAAATATTACTTTCCACATCCAATTTCTGCTTATTTTAAGCAGCCACGTTTCTTTAAAAGCAAAGGAACTTCTTTTAACAGCAATATTAAAGCTCTGTTTAAAACGGTGCAAAACAAACCCCACTGCATTTTAGACAGCTGCTTCCTTATAAAAATAAGAAAAAAAAATCTGTACATTTACATAAAGATTCCAAATCATTCACTGGGGGAGAAATGAAAGCTTTAAAAATATATTTTCTTGCACCCTCAAATACCATAAATTTCACCTTACACATATAAGGAAATAATAATACTACATATGGGAAAGTCAAATAAAACATAGAAATGAATCCCTGAAATTAAATTCTCATTTGAGATGAAAGAATTGCAAATTAGGGCATACGTGCAGACCAGGTGGTTTTCAGCACGTTCAAAGAACAAAGACGAGGTTAGAGGTTTTATAAACAGGGAAGTGATACTGGTTGCTCTTTGAGAAAGTTTGTCGGCCCTAGTAAGGTCTTGGGGAGGTGGCACGTTTTGATTGGCGAGTGAGGGAGTGCGCAAACCACAGTGGGTGTTTCAGTAGCCATTAGATACAACTGGCTTCTGGTTACAGTAGACAATTTCATCAACGAGGCTTGCAGAGAACTCCATTCTCAGAGCAATATTTTGTGCCCTGAGTTTTCTTCCCCTGGCTTCTCTACTGTCTTTTGGTTGAGTATTTCAAGACTGATCCAATTCGTATGATCAACTTTCACACATGTTCAAAATGATTACATTAAAATAAGAAAACTTTAAATGGAAAATAAGGCCAAGTGCGGCGGCTTACGCCTGTAATCCCAGCACTTTGGGAGGCCGAGGTGGGCGGATCACGAGCTCAGGAGCATCCTGGCTAACACGGTGAAACCCTGCTCTACTAAAAATACAAAAAAATTAGCCGGGCGAGGTGGTGGGCGCCTGTAGTCCCAGCTACTCGGGAGGCTGAGGCAGGAGAATGGCGTAAACCCGGGAGGCGGAGCTTGCAGTGAGCTGAGATCCGGCCACTGCACTCCAGCCTGGGTGACAGAGCCAGACTCCGTCTCAAAATAAAAAAAAGGAAAATAAAAAGTGTAAATCTAAAACACATATATTTCAGGGTCAAATTAGAAAACAAAAAATGTAGGAATAAATCAGAATTTTAGATACCCATTTAATTCATAGACCTTCTTAGTGCCCAGAGGGAGGGCTACAGAAGGAATACAGCAATTCCCATGAATGCCTTGTTTGTTCTGCACAACCAGTTCAGGCTCATCCTGCAAATGCCTTCAGACTCATCATTCAGTCAGCTCTGTCCCCTGGATTTCTCACTCCAAATAAGGTTAGCCATAGAGAAGAGGTTGGCTGATCCCTCAGTGGACTCAAATGGCAGTTGCCATTGGCCTGGGAAAGGAAAAGGCAGTGCCAAGCCTACTCATCATTCAGTCAGCTCTGTCCCCTGGATTTCTCACTCCAAATAAGGTTAGCCATAGAGAAGAGGTTGGCTGATTCCTCAGTGGACTCAAATGGCAGTTGCCATTGGCCTGGGAAAGGAAAAGGCAGTGCCAAGCCTAGGAAAAAGTATGAAGCAGATGATGTTGCCTTTACTCTCACCCATAGTCCTTGTGTCCTCTCCTTGCCCTAGAAGGCCTGCGTCTTCATGTTGCCCTCTGACTTACAAATGCCTTACTTAGGCTGCTTTCTCCTAAAGTTCCCTCTGTTCTAACATGACAACTTGATCTTTTTCTTTTATACATTCAAAGTTTCTATTTCTTCTATTATTTTAAAATTTCTCTGGAGAAAGCAAACTGATTAAAAATTAATTCACACTGAAGGATGGTGGAAAACCCGGAGTATTTGTCACTTAAGGGAATCTCTGCTGGAGGCGTTGCTGACAATGTTAGCAGAAAGCTGAAAGAAGGGGGCCCACGAGGCCTAGCTTTCCTTGATTCACGCCAATACCACTCAGAAGAAGGGCAATAAGGAGAAAAATGAAATTTTGTAGCTCTCAGGCCCTGATCAGGTGTCAAGTTTGTGGGGCTTAGGCCTAAGGACACTCAATCTCCCCGGGGTGCTTTCAGTGAGATCCGCCCCTCAGCTCCCTCTAGCCTCTATACTCTGGAGGACATGGTTATTTGGTTCTAAATTAAAAGGATGTTGGTCAATATAAGAGAGAACAGAAACAGCAATAGAGGATTTAACTTCAGTAAAGGTAAGTTTTAAAATGTTTTTGTTATTAGCTCCCCAAAAAAACACCTCATCTCTGGACCCTTGCTACCAAAAAACAGGGAACCCTAGCTACAGCGAGTATTCCCAAGTTTGCTACTAACTTGTGGATACTGAAATCTTGAAACAGACTGCAAAGCAAACCTACTGTTCCATCGAGTTCCCTCTTTCCTTTCCACAGAAACCAGAAAAGTTTAATTTGTTTACAATTTTTAACAAATTACACAAATTGGACAGGAACTATTTCCTGACAGACTCAGTTATAATGCAGCATTTAAGAGCTAAGCCTAGGAAGCTCTCTCTTTTTTCTATTGTAGGACAAACTATACCCCAGCCTCATTTCAAGTTTTTACAATTTTCCTCTTTGTTTTCATTTCATTTTAAATGTTGCATTGATTAATAATAATATATGTACACACATTTTTTTCCAACTATATTCCTATGGAAAATTGCTACTTCATGGGGCGCTTCAACAAATTTTGCCTCCAAAGTCAAATGACTTTGGTAGTGCAGTAGAGGTGAGTCCCTATTCTTTATGAGCTGCAACATTTTTAAGTTAATTCAGTCTTCAGTGTTTCTTTTCCAAATTTTTCTTCACGTAGTAATACTCAATATTTCTTGTTTATTTTTTAAACTATCACTCAAAGTGAATATATAATAATGTGATATTAGTGTAACTTAGCTATTGTTGGACTAATATTTATCCAACATATTTATCACTAAAATATCTGTTAAAAAAAAAAAAAAAAGAGCAGATGCTTAATTCCTTAATTCCAGTGCTGCAGCTTGAGATTTACTAGTTGTCTGTTTTAACATTTTTCACTTTTTGGAAAAGATAAGCAACAACTTGCTTAAAAAATATAAATTGGTGAGTAGCATAATTCAAAATTGAGGGAAAAAAGTCATCATATACATACATGTTGAAATTGAACTTTACAATATTATTTTTGGAAACCTCCAGAATGTCTGGCAAAGACCTAATTGTAGCACTGTGACATTATCTCTCTGTGCATGCTTCTGCTAATGTAATAAATTTGGGTTCCAAATTATTTAAAAAGTCAAGGCCGTCTTCTTCCTGTTTTTCACTGCAGCAGCCCACAGAACCAGCTGGAGATCCTCTTCCCTCATAGTTATAAGTAAGGACATAATCTTGGGATGGCATGTGGTCTTCATTCTGATTACATCGATGCAATTTCTGTAAAATGTTTTAAAAAATGAATTGTATTATCGTTTTAAACAACTTAAATATATGAACATAAAATTTATTTTTATTTACCTTTTATGTTTAATTTTTAACCAGTGTGTCCTCTAATGGATTCCTACACACAAAAAATGCACATGATTGGTCTATATTACAACCATACCATAAAGTCAGTATAGTTTACATTTCTAATAATCCATATAAGTAAAAAATTATGTATACAAGTGTTATATTTAAGTACATTCAAGTTATCATTAAACGTTTATCTCTCAATTTTATACACAGAGGTCAGGTTAGTCCGAAAAATAGAGATAATAGTCATACTGGTTGGGAGTTTGAGATTGGATGCCAAACAATCTTGGTTGTGAGTCAAAGCTCTAGCTTTACCAACTAGCTATATGATTTTGGACAAGTCACCAAATATCCTTTAGTCTCAGTGACCACCTAACGAGATTATTTTAGAAATGAATGACAAAATAATAATGCATAATACACATATTATGCCCAGCACATATTAAATGTAAAATACATTTTAACTAGAATCACTATTATATGCAGTCATAAAGTAGGTAGGAATTACCAATGTAACTTCAGAATCAAGTTTCCAAGATACCCAAAACATGGCAAAATATATATATGCACCAAAAAGTTCAATGAAATTAAAAAGAATGAACATAACCCATATTGCAAAAAAGGGGCTTTTGTAATAAATAAGCCAGGCATTCAGCCACATCTACCCTGTCTGCCACTGGTCTGTCTGCCAACTCATCAACTGCCATGTTTCCTCCTTTTCCTCACCTGGGTGCCCACTCCTTGCCTATGTGGAGCTCATTGGCATGACTTACCTTCTTTCTTCATGACGTTGTTAGCCTTACCTCCCATTACCTGGTGTGCAATTGAGGAACCCTCCTAAGACTATGTCTTAAGCTTCACTCCATCTCAACCTGATCTTACATGAATACTGACTGTCTAGAAGTAGAAAAAGAATTAACACTTGAATTTGACCCTCCAAAATACTATGGATACATAACCTACAGCCCTATACCAGAGTATCACCCATTTGCATTCCATCCAAGGATGAAAGGTCCACTGTTTGTCCTGCAATGGCACTGGTATCCTCTGATAAAAGAGGTAAAAATTTAGTTCAGAAGAGTGTCTAATCCAGTGGCTTTCTATCTAGCTGCACGTTTGAATCATCTCAGAAATGTAAAACAAAAACAAAACAAACAAGAAAACCCAAATTCATTAAATAGGAATCTTTTAGAGTAGAACACAGACATCAGTATATTTTAAAAGCTTCGTAGTGGATTTTGCCAGACCCAGTGGCTCATGCCTATAATCCCAGCACTTTGGGAGGCCAAGATGGGTGGATCATTTGAGACTGGGAATTGGAGGCCAACCTCGGCAGCATGGCAAAACCCCCTCTCCACAAAACATGCAAAATTTAGCCAGGTGTGGTGGTGTACACCTGTAGTCCAAGCTACTCAGGGGGCTGACATAGGAGGATCACCTGAGCCCAGGAAGTCAAGGCTGCAGTGAGCGGAGATTGCACCACCGAACTCCAGCCTCAGCGACAGAGCAAGACCCTGTCTTTTTTTTTAGAAAAAAAAAAAAGAAAGAAAGAAAGAAAAGAAAGAAAAAAGCTTCCACTTCATAGGGGATTTTGGTATGAACAGAGAATTCTTTATTTTAATTCCTTCTTTCTTTCACATTCTTGCTTTCCTTAGAATAAAAGCACTTTACATTTGCATGGTGCTTTGTATATTTAAAACATGTCCTGCAATGGTGATGATAGTTAATAATAGTATATTGTATATTCCAAAATTGCAAAGAAAGTACATTTCAAATGTTCTCACCACAAAAAAATAAGTATTTGAGGTGATGTGTATGTTAAGTGTGATTTAGTCATTCTACATTGCAGACATAAATCATAATATCACTTTGTGCCCCATAAACACATTCAATTATATTTTGTCAATTTGCAATAAAATAAAAAATATGTAAATCATGCTATTTAATCTTTATCCTAAAACTGCATTCAAGTGTTTGTGTTTTCACAGAGAAATACAGATTTCATTTGAAAAGTTTGTCATTGTGAGGAAGTAGAATTGCTTTCACATTCTTCTATATCAAAAGGGTTCATGAGGTAAATACACAACTAAAAGTGAGATGTTAGTGAAGAGTATTAAAAACCTCCAATATTTATGGGATTTTATAAATTAAGTGAAATATGACAAGTGAAATAAAATCTCTTTTAAATTAATGTAACAAAATCAAAGAGCACAGAAAAATGAACAGAGCAAGCAAGAGAGGGCCCACAGAAAAATACGGAAAAGCAGTTTCTGAAAATATGTGTTAATTTGAATTTTCTACTCTTCTCCATTCAGAAGTTTAAATTTTAGGGTCAAAACACCTAAGGAAACTCACTTCACCGAGACGGGGCTGAGTGAAACTGTGCCACTCCGAGTAAGTGTATCTGCAGTTGTCCACCTCCGTGTGTCCTCCCCTGCAGGAGTCCAGGGTGTGATGGTGCCCAGCCCCCCGGCAGGATTCCAAGGTCTGGTTTCCTCCTTTCATCATTTCAATGGTTTCCTGTCCTCCATTTTTCATTCCTGATCCCATGGTGCCACAAAAACCTTGGCTAGAGTTGTTGGCAGTCTGGGTCATAAATCCATTGGCAGAGCACTGAAATAATAAAATAAAATAATTCATGTTGAGAGGAAATGGATTCTAAGTTGTCATGAGAAGGCAAAGGAGAGAGGACATTTATTCAACCTTTTTATTCATTCATTCATTCAACAGACATTTATCAGTTTCTAATTATGTGCCCAGATACTGTCTTCATTCATTTTGTGCCGCTATAACAGAATACCTGAGACTGGGTAATTTTTAAAGAACAGAGGTTTATTTCTTACAGTTATGAAGTCTGGGAAGGCCAAGATCAAGGAGTTCACATTAGGCGAGGGCCCATCCCATGACAGAATGTGGAAAGGCAAAAGAGCAAGAGTGAGAGGGAGAGGGAGAGAGAAAGAGAGGAGCAACAGGGGACTGAACTTGTTTTACAATAAGCTTTCATGATAATAAACCCATTCCCATGATAAGGACAGTAATCCATTTGTAAGAGCAGAGCCCTCATGATCTAATCACCTGCTAAAGGTCTCATCTCTCAACACTGTTGCATTGGGGATTAAGTTTCCAACACATCAGCTTTTAGGGACAAATGTCACCCATAGCAAATGCAAAACCCTAGGGATATAAAGATAGGCATAGTCTCTTGATGGCTCCAAGAAGCTCTTATTCCAAGGAGAGAGAAAAACAAATACTTTAAGAATGTGATTACTCTACTATGTAGGTGAGCACAAAATGTTACAGGAGCACAGAAGTAGAGCATTAAAATTCAAATCCAAACAGGGTAAGTGAAATAGACTGGAAAAACTCTGAGCTAAGAGACTAGGGACTAGGAGGAGTGGGACAAACAAGGCAACCACTGCAGGAAGGTTCTGGAGGCAAAAGGCAAACAATGTCCTTCAGGGGTCCCCAACTTCAGTCAGTTGAGAACAGCTACCACATAAGATTGGCATTGGGGGGAGGCTGGAGAGGTTATAAAAGGCCATAATATATAAAGATCTATATGCCATGCTAAAAAAAATACTTTATTATGAGGATTATAGGGACTGTGAAGAATTTTAACTCATTACAGAGAGAAACCCATTTCAAAAATATCATTCTCGGCAATAATGTGGAAGAAAAATAAGACAAATTTAGTGTCATGGAGGTCAGATGGCGGTCACTGAATCTGATCTGATCTGATATTCCAGGTGAAAATGATAAGGATCTAAGCCAAGGTAGAAGCAGTCATGATTGAAAGAAGTAGGTGGACTCCACAGAGAGTCTACAAGTATCTAGATTGATGAGGCAATCAAGGACAGAGTCAGAAATTATTCTTTTGTGTTCCATGAAGGCAAATAGGTAGATGGTACAACTCACTGAAACAGGGAGGAAAGATGTGCTTGTGGGCAAGAGGAGAGTGAGCAACTAAAGTTTAGATACGAAAAACTTTAGAAACATGTGGGATGTCCAAGATGAATATATGAATATGCGGATTTGGAACTCAGATGAGAGCTTTGAGCTGGAGATATAACTCTGGGAGTCACTCCCACATAGGTGATAGTTGAGGCCATGGGAATAGAAGACCAATCCCGAGAAAATTGTCAACCAAAAGAAAAAAGGGCTAAGGATAGAACCACAAGAAAAATCACATGTTAAGGGGTGGGTAAGAGACAGCTGTGACAGGCCAGATCTGAGTAGCCACTGAGACAACAGAGAAAACCAAAGAGGCAGGATTCTGAAGCCATGAAGAGAGAATATGATAAGGAGTGGGAGCAGCCAATGATGTTAACAACAACAGAAAAATCACAGCAAGGTAAGAATGGGTTCAATTAAAGTATAAGTGTCCATTGGATTTAAGTGAAAGAACAGCCATTGATCACCTTTGTCGAAAGAATTTCCAAGGAGTGCTGGGTAAGCAGGAAGTAGTATCATAGAGAAATCAAATATAGTTTTTTCTTTCCAAAAGTTCAGTTTGAAAGAAAAAGAGAGATTTGGAGGGAACTAGAGGATGACAAAGAGTCAAGGAAATGCTTTAAAATGAAAATGTCTTCATTGAACATTAGCTTAATACTGGAACTTCACTCCAACCCTCTGAGCTATAGGACAGAAGTTTAGTTACAGTGGTAACCTCGACATGTCAGTTTTCATTACAAACAGTTACATTACTTTCAGGGCAAGAACCTCCATTACATTCAGGTTCCTTTGTGCCACCTTCTTATCAATTTAAATATTTTTCTACTTAAAATGCAGTCTTTAACTAAATTGAAAGATTTTTCAAGTGCAGATGATTTAATGAACCTGAAATATATCTACAAAGTCATATTTATATTGCCTTAGAAAAAAATACCAGAAAAAAAAATTGAAAAGTAGCCATTTGGTGGCAGTGCTACCCTATATTTTTTTACTTAGGTTGCTGTTACAATAAAATTCAATTACAAAAAAGGAAAAAAGCTCTCCTCATTATTAAATCTTCTTGATGGTACAGTTTTGTTGTAATAAACACAAGTTCAAAGATCATATTTCTAAGTGGATAAAAGAGGAATTTAAAACAAACTAAAGCAATGCTGAACCTACAGAGCCAACTTTCATATTTTCTATTCTCTGCTCCTTTCTGTCCTCCTGCAGCCGCATTTCCCAAAGTTCATTCTCACAGGGTATCAACAACTGCTTATCCATGTCAATAATTTCCAAGTTTACTTTTCCAGCCCTGATTATTCACCCAACTCCTAACCCCATGTGCATGCCTTCAAATGAAATTCAGATCCAAAGCTAAAATGATCACTTTTACTCATTGTATTAAAGCAAGTTTATAGATTCAAGAAGAAATTTTATGTTTTTGTATAAATTAATATTTCCAAGCTCCTTTTAGAAGTGTTCCTAACACAGAACAGGTAAATATTGTGAAGTGGCCACTCAATATAATCAGCTCTAACATTAAATGGCAAAGAACAAATATTAAGTAAAAGTCTTATAGGTTATGCTGTTTTCCTCTCCTTTAGCTATTCTCACCATCTCTTCACTTTCAAACCCTTCTTATTCTTTAAGTTACCAAATAAGCAGTACCTCTTGTCACTAGCCTTTCTGGTTGATCCAAACCACATGAGTACACTTAGGTATCACAGGAATTTTTGAACGCTGACAGTGCTTTATCATATTGGTTTATTGTCATGTTCTTATTTTGCTTTTCCATAAAAGTGGGATCTATTTCTCTTAAATAAGTTGACATATTTTTGAGGAGAGAACATGCCTTGTAAGTACTTTTGTGTATATATATACACTTCACACAAAACAAGAAGCATAAAAGCACCTCAGAAGTCCTAAGAAATATATAAGGAAAGAGTGGCAGTAGTCTTCCAAACCCCTCTCCCTTTCTTTTAGAAATATCTCATTGATATTTTCCTAGTTAACTTGAGAACTTTTAGCAAGCTTTTTTCCCCATTATAAATGGTTAACAAATTACATAAACAAATTATGTCTGGAAATATACATTGTAGAGTGCAGGCAAAACAAATTATTGTTATAATAAATTCTCACCATCAAAGAACAAGTTGAAACTATAACACTAGGGTGCAAAAAAGATAACTAAAACAATACATCTGGATCAAGAAGTTTAAAAAATTACCACTACATAAACATTTGCGTATTGGCAGACAATATTTATGCCTACTAAATCTGATTCAATTAAAAATATAAATTAACTCCTAAATTCTGAAATGAGTTTATGAGGATGAATTAAATAAATTATCAGAGATACAAATACATATTTATTTAAAAATTACTTACCACTCTATCATCTCCAGGTGCTTCTGTGTTTGATATAATTAAGTTTTGCTGTGCTAAATCTTCAGGAAAACGTTTGCCTTTAGTTGCACCCAAAACTCCACATACTAAAGTTAGCAATACAGCTGAATTTAAAAATAAAAATAAAATAACTTATTTTAGCATACATAGAATAAAATCATCATCATTTATTTCTTACGACCTAAGGATCAAAGTAGAAGATAAAGCCACTAAGCATGGCTTCCCATGAATTATCTTGGCTGTTCTAAGTTAACATGTCACCAGTTAGCTTAGATTTTAGAATCAGGAGCAATCATCTGTATTTTTTTTATTATATCTCTCTAATTGCTTGAATTCTGCCCATCAAAATAAAGTACTTAGAATTATGAGTTAAACAGTACATAAAGAAAAGAAATCACCAACATTTAAGACAAAGACTTTGAAAAAATTTACTGATTCCCCCCAAAATAATTTCCCCACATGAAAATGTAAAAAGAGAATTGTGTACAAAAAAACATGAAAAAGACAGACTGCTTTCCTAGAAAAGATTTATCTTAATTGAACCCACTTTGCATCTTGCCTATTAAGAATTCTTATTCTAAATCATAATTGTGGGAGATTGAAAATACATGATAATTAAACTAAGAATAATAACAACAATTCTTTCAGTCTAAAAGACCCTATAGTGCATTGGCAAAATCCCCAAACTCAGACCACTACATATTTTTGCATGGCCTATGAGCTAAGACTTTGTATTTATAAATGGTTGAAAAAATTCAGAAGAATAAGAGTTTATAATGTGAAAATTACATGAAATTCAAATTTTACAGTCCATATGTATTGTTCTATTGGAACACAGTAATGCCCATAATTTATATATTTTTATAGCAGTGTTATTGTTTCAGGGACAGATTTGATTGGATACAATGGAAAACACATGGCCTGCAAAGCTTGACATATACACTATCTGGTCCTTTACAGAAAAAGTGTGACAACTCTTGCCTACCCTACATGGCCCCACACTACCTTTCTGGCTCTATTTCCTAATCCTCTTCCCTTTGTCCACTCTCACCACACTGGTTTCCCTGCCACTCCTTGGTTTCTCCAGACATAATCACAAATTAGGGTCTTTCCATTGACTTCCCTCTCTGACTAAAGTTCTTGCCCCAGGCATTCCACCTGGCTAACTCTTTCACCTCTTCCAAAAATCATTAAAAATAATCTTCTCAGGTCTGACCTCTGTATTGAAAATTGCAATCACTGGCACCAATACCCCCCTCACCAACACACTCCATGGCACTACAGATCCTAATTATTTCCCTCTCTTTGTTTTCCTCCGTAGCATTTAATTTATTCATTAACTCTCACAAGGCAGATTGATTGGTTTTGCTTCTTCGTTTGTTTGTTTGACCTTCCCTATTTTTCCTAAGCACCTAGAACAGTTTCCCGCCTACAGTAGGTATTTGATATATGTTTATTTTTTGACTTGATGAAAAATAATGAACACATTAGAAATTTACTATGTACTGTTCTAAGCACTTCACATGCATTACCTTATTTAATACTCAGTGCTACACCATATGGTAGGCTACTACAATTATTCCTTTTACAGATGAGAAAATTGAAGCACAGCTAAGTAATTTGTCCCAGGTCACATGGCTTACAAGCGATGAAGCCGGGGTACAAACCCGGGCAGTCTGATTCCTGAGTTTTTTGCGCTTAACTTCTACTCTTACCGCAAAACAAAGCTAATCTAGGCTGGAGGAGGTTAACAGAATTTAAAATTGGCAAGATATACCCAAGAAGAGATACGGCTGAGAACAGAACATCTCCCATAACTCTGCGGCTGAATGGTAAAAAGATACGGAATGAAGCCTGTAATCCCAGCACTTTGGGAGGCCGAGACGGGCGGATCACGAGGTCAGGAGATCGACACCATCCTGGCTAACACGGTGAAACCCCGTCTCTACTAAAAAATACAAAAAACTAGCCGGGCGAGGTGGCGGGCGCCTGTAGTCCCAGCTGCTTGGGAGGCTGAGGCAGGAGAATGGCGTAAACCCGGGAGGCGGAGCTTGCAGTGAGCCGAGATCCGGCCACTGCACTCCAGCCTGGGCCACAGAGCGAGACTCCGTCTCAAAAAAAAAAAAAAAAAAAAAAAAAAAAAGATACGGGATGAAAGTAGTTTTTAGTGGACTTTCCTAAGGCAGAAATTTTAGATTATTCTATTTAGCCCTAAAAGGAATGGCACTGGAACCAAGAAATAAAGGCTATCTGTTTGTCAGATTCTGTGAAATCTAAGGAATTTTCAAAAATTATGTCTAAGCATAAAGTCTTTTATCTCAAGAAGGATCATGTTCCCTTCACAGAAAATATTCAAACAGAACTCAGGTAATAACACAAAAGGAACTTGGAAAGAGACTCACACCTGACGGATGCTTGGACAAGATTATTTTTTAAAGATCTTTTCCCGCATCTAGATTTGTTATTATGTATTTTAAGTTCAAGAAAGGGAAAATACTTACAAAAGAGCAGTGCTATACCCAGTAGTATTGCGAGGATTGCCCATTTTCCAAGTACTACTCCTGCACTCCTTGAAGTCACACGACACTGAGCTGGATGAGTACACTCACATAGATTAACTCTCAATAATTTTGTTGCAGCTTGGCCGGCCCTGTCTTTTACAGTAATAGGAATGGTATATTCTTGAAATCCAGCATTTTTCTGATATGAAAGACGGGCGGCTGTGTCTGAAAGAAAATAAAAGAAATTTATTTTTTAATGATCATTTATCATTTATCATTTGTTTCATCACGCTTGTTTTTGAAGGCATCATTCTCAAGGAACTGCCTGCCACATGAAAGTAAATAAAAATGGAGGACTATCTTCAACCCTTTCAAACTCTAATATTATCTTATATGTGTTGTCCCTTGTAATTCCTTAGAAAGGAGCCCTTAAGAAATAATTTGGCATTGGAGTGGCCCAGTAGTGTTCTAGTAATGTTTATCTATACAAACTAATAATGTTAGGTTGGCTGTTAACATACGCTTCAAGCATTTTTCTTTAGTACCAATGTATCTACAGGTACACACAAATAGTTTCTGAAGTTCACATTCTCTTATCCATTGACCTTCTAGTATTTGCACATTATTCATATGGATAAGGTAATTTTTTCAAAGCACAATAGATTGTTTACGATTAACACCTTGTATCTGGAAGTAATCTTAGTACCAGAAGCTATTTAATGTCACTCAGGCTACTTATAAGACTTACACAAAACAGAAATGTCCATATAAACAATTCACTTTTATCAACTGTGATAGTCAATTTTCCCCAATAGTCTTGGTCTATTATTTTAATGACCACAGTATCAACTAACCAAAAGCTCCACAGAATTTCAATGGCAGTTACAACCTCCCTGAGTTTTTATAATAGAATAAGTAAAATGAAAAAGTAGCATAAAACACACCCTGGAAGTCATCTGGAATTCCTAAGCCTTGATTAAATGCTCTGCTGTAGCTGTAAGAATTTCAAAGATTTTGGCTGCACCTCGTACCTGAAGGCTCCCTAGAGGAACGTGAATTACCACTTGGGTTTACTTAGGATCACTCAATACCACACTGTATCTAAGGTAAGATCCTTGAAATCCCTCCACTCCCTCAAGACAACAAGTGGAGCCATAGTAATGTCTTATTCACAGTAGTGTATTTGCCTCTGATTTTCCTTCACTCACCTATGCTCCCTTCATATTGTCCTCCTGTCACCAGTGTCACCTTTAAAAGATGTAAATCCTGGGATGGCATTGCCTTACTTGCACATTCCCAATGCATAACTGCTGTTGCCTACTGTACCAAGGTTAGTCCTCTCAGCCTGGCACACAAGGCCCTTCACCACCAGATTCCACCCTTTCTTCCACCCAACCTCTTGGCATTCTTACTAAAACCTTCTAAACTCTAATGACATGGATGTACTAATTCTTCTGGTGTGTTTCTTCTTTTATGCACATTACTAATCAATTATTGAACAAGCAAACATTTATGAAGCAGTTAGTATCTACTCAGCATTAGGCTAGGTGCTGGAAGTACAAAGATGAATTGCAAATGCTCTAGGAAACTCATGTATTGGAAGGGAGAGGTAATCAGATGTTAATACAACAGGAAAGGCACTGCAATGCAGGTAGCAAAGGGTCATGGTGCCACTCCTTCCAATTCAAGACAAACTTCAGAGGTGGAGCATCTCACCTGGGATTGTGTCTGTCTTGTTCATCTCTATATAAATCCTCAGGATCTGGACTAGTGCTTAATAGATAGTAGGTGTTCATAAATATCATGAAAAACATATCATGCTCATAAATATCAAGCTAAGAATCGGAAAAGGAGGTATTCTACGTAGATAGGGCTATACACACAAAAGCCCAGTTGCATGAAAGAATATGGCAGTAACAACAGAGTGAAGTATGGATGAAGTACAGAACATGACACCCCCCATAAACTGCTATAATAGGCAGCAGCCCCTCAACAGTCCTTCTCATATCCCTTTCCATATCCCGCCAAGTTCATTTCCAGGATACCCTAGAGTGCTTAGTCTATACACCTGAGCTCCTCACTTCCAGAGTCAGCTTACAATACAATTTAAACTACACATCTTCTGCTCTCTCTTCACCTCACTGGTGAGAAGAGAGCAGATGCAATCTCCCTCTGTGCCCCAGGCTGGAATGCAGTGGCACCATCTCTCAACTCACTGCAACTTCAGCCTACTGGGTTTAAGCGATTCTCCTGCCTCAGCCTCCCCGGTAGCTTGGATTACAGGTGCCCGCCATCACGCCCAGATAATTTATGTATTTTTAACAGAAAGGGGGGTTTCACCATGTTGGCCAGGCTGGTCTTGAACTCCTGACCTCAAGTCATCCACCCACCTAGGGCTCCCAAAGTGCTGGGATTAGAGGTATGAGTCACCGTGCCCAGCCACCGGTATTATTTTTAAACACACACACACACACAAACACACACACATACACACACAGTTTGTCTTAATGATAAGCTGCCCAACATTTTAACAAAACTTTTCTTTGTTGTAAATGTAAATTTTGCCTTCATAAAAATTACAACTTCTTTCATTTTATATATAACAGAGCCCCCATACAATATTTATAAAAAGGTTAGTTTATCCTTCTAAAATATATTAATGAGACTCAGTTTTACTTCATGCTTTGTGTAGGTAAGCAAGTCAATCTATCCTCCAGTTATTCTTAGTTATTTCAGAGTTTATAAATCATTATTTTTTAGTAAATACCATTAACTTTGGTGAGGCTCCACAGTCTACTGATTTCTGGAGAAGTATTTGGCAAACTGAAATAAAATGGAGCTCCATGGACAGGTTCATCAGGATCAACAGCTAAAATGTCGGTATATCCCATTTTTGGTTTGCAAATGACTACATATTCTTGAAGTATTTCTGGTGGATTATCATTTACATCTTCAATGTCCACAGCAAGTGTTCCAGTACATGACCTATTATCTAAGGACAGAGGAATAAGGTTTAGTGTTATTTTAATATTCTTTTATAGTTTCTTAAAGAATAAAAAGTCAATTCAAAGTCAATTCAATTATATTCTTTTTTTTTTTGATACAGAGTCTCGCTCTGTTGCCCAGGCTGGAGCGCAGTGGCACAATCCCTGCTCACTGCAAACTCCGCCTCCCAGGTTCATTCTATATAGGATATCTGTTTTTAAATAAAGTGATTATTAAAGGAAATGATAAATAAATAAGAACATAGATGGATAAATAGAATCTGCAGCTAGTCTGAAATGACTATTGCTACTGATAATATCAGATACAACTGCCAATAAATCTTTTACCAGAATTACTGCCAAATAAAAATAAATGTCTCAATTTCAATCTCTATTTTTGGGGGTTCCAGGTGTCAGGTGTTAATAAGCAGTAAAGTGATTACAGATAAGATTTCTAATCCCAGGATATACTCAAACCACTAGGAAGATTTTTTTAAATATAAGATTCCCAGGCTCCACAACCAGAGATTCTGATTCAGTTATTCTAACAAAGTATCTACAGAGTATTATTTTTATTTTTATGTGAAGACAAGCTTGAAAAACTCTGAGTTACTTTAAGGAACAGAATTCAAGAAAAGGATCACTTTGACGTAATATTTGGCTGAACATATAGTTCAATTTAAAGCTCAATTTAAAGTGGCACAAACAGATGTGGAAGTCTGATGAGACCATTTTATCTAGTTTTAGATTTCAGTTTTATTTTTGTCCTCTAGCACAGAAATATATAAAAATGTAAGGTCCTGCCCTATTGGGAATATAAAGATAAATAAAACATGGCTTCTTGCCACGAGTTTCACCTTGTTAGATAATTAAGAGAGACAGAAAGAGTCTTTAATTTCAAAGAATTCCATATACTTACCACCAAAATAACTGCATAAGAATAATTATATTTTATTCTCTAATTCCTTTATAAAATACCAGATTAAAACTTCATTTTTTACCTTTGTCTATTGCCAAGACTGTAATATTATACAATTCATTTTTGGGAGTTTCAACCTCCCTATCCAGGATTTTGGAAGTTATGATTGACCCTGAAATTTCATCAATGGTGATCCAACCTTTAGGATCATGCAATTTTTTGTACCTGTTAATAAAAAAAAAAAAAAAAATCTTTAGCATTAGAAAATGTTTTCAAATAAGTTACTATCTCAATGATTACAAATATATTATTAGTATGTGGTTATAGATTTATTTTTACCTTAAACCATTGCCATTTCTAGTTTCGGGGTCATATGCCTTATAGCCATTGATCTTTGACCCCACTGCTAAGTTTTCTTTAATCCGCACATATTGGGCTGCAGGGGTGCATTCAGGCCCCTCATCCAGATCCCTCACATGAACTGTAACCAAGGCTCTGTTCAACGCTGTCACTCTGGGTATATCTCTAGTAAATGGTGCTTCATTGTTTACTCCAATTTCCAGGTTCACTTGATGGTTTTCTTCATAATTCAGTGGCTTTAAAATAAAGTCCATGTATGTCATTATCAGTGTAAAATACATTTGGTATTTCAAATGGCAAGTGAGCATTTGTCATTCTGATCAGTGTTGCATAAATTCTATGTTCACATTTTGTTAATACTGACTGTTATCCCTTGCTAGAAAGAGAGTGGATCCTGTGCTAAGCCTTTACCAAGAATGTTCCAAAAGCTTCTGCAGGTGGTTTTATAGAGTTGGACAAAAGAAATTCCTGAAGTATTTTTATATTTCACTCTTACTAAGGAAAATGATTCTGATTCAAAAAATAATGCAAACAGATGACAGTATTCTTATGGCCCTCCTTGGAGCACTGTCTAACAGGCTGGGCTAAAGGTCATCTGAGTATGGGAAGGTGCCTTTATTTGGCTTATCAGTTACTACTGACTATGGCCCAGGCATTTTATAATTCTTGTAAAGTTTGATGCTGACTTTCACAAAACTAAAAGGTGCAATGATTTCATTTTCTGTCTCATAGAAAAGATATTCCCAATGTCTGGGTGTTTTTTAATTTTATTTTATTTCATTTCATTTCATTTTTGAGACAGAGTCTTGCCTTGTTTTGTCACCCAGGCTGGAGAGCAGTGGCACAATCTTGGCTCACTGCAACCTCCACTTCTTTGGTTCAAGTAATTCTCCTGCCTCAGCCTCCCATGTAGCTGGGACTACAGGCACGTGCCACTATACTCAGCTAATTTTTGTATTTTTTTCTTTAGTAGAGATAGGGTTCTGCCATCTTAGTCAGGCTGGTCTCCAACTCCTAAACTCAGGTGATCCACCTCCCTTGGCATCCCAAAATGCTGGGATTACAGGCGTGAACCACCATGCCCGGGCCCAGATGTCTGTTTTAATTGCCCTCTAAGGCATCTAACTGAGCCATCTAATTTCTGCTTTTGCTTTTATCAAAATTCATCCAGAGGCTCATTTCTTCTTAGGAATCAACTTGTCTTTTTTCTGGTTCCTTCATGAATGAGTGAAAACCTTTAGCCATCCATGCCCACTACCTATTTTTATGAAAATTAAATTTTTGAAAATTTGAGAATTATACTTTGCTTTTGTCTATAATTCATCCAATGAAATTTTCACAGTAGATACACAGAGGAGTAAGGGAAATACAATGTGATAATTTCAGTGACATTGAATCTCAGGCACTGCTCTAACAGTGAAAATAAACTCACTAAATCCTCATGACATTATGAACTAAGTATTATTGGCCTCATCCTCATTTTACAGAGCAGAAAATGGGAAAAGGAGATAAACTTATTTTTTTAAGGCCAAAAGATAATCATTTGAGCTTGAGTTTGAAGCCAGGTAGGCTGACCTGAGCCCATTTCCTTAGCCCACGCTATAATCCCTATGCTATCGTGTGCTGCTTAATTGGCTCACTGGTCTCTAAAAGATTTCCAAATCAATCTTTGATTAAATTCAGATTTAGATAACAAATCAAGTTAAACCCATAAAACATTATGTTACACTGTATTATAAAGTTGAAGCACTTTTTCTTCAATTTCTCTTTCTGCTTATCAGAACAATCGCTGGCTAAACATTGAACATAATCAAAACGGGTGAATAAAATTATTTTAAATCTTTCTCCACACCTAGGTATTAACGGAGTAAGACACTAATATCACGAGTCCACTAAAAAGTCAAGAAAGTTTCTGAATCTTAGAATCTACAAAATGTATGTAAAATCTTTTATATTTTGTTTGAGTATCCCAGAAACTGGAGAGTCAAGGAAAAAAACATTAATATCTGTTCATTTGATGCTGATGAACACTGCTTCACAAATTTCATGCGCTGGTGTGATCACATGGAGAGTAAGAGCAACTGCTGGCAATGAGAAATGGATGGAAATGTAGAGAACAGCGGCTGCACTGGAGGAGGTGCAACTACTCAATCCAAAAACACTCACTGAAGCCTTGGAGCTTCTTTGTCCCATTTTTCAACGCTTAAGATGGATATTGTCTTAGTAGCTTAAAACTCTCCAAAATTAAAAATCTGGTGAGATGAAATCCCAAAGATTAACGAGATTAGTTAATCCCATTAATTAATAAGAAAGGATGTAAATTCCTTTCCACCTCAGGGTACGTTTTTGTTTCGCCATTTAAAAAAAGTGTTTAAAAATATCCCACATCTGCACTGAGATGACAACTCCCTAGAAAATGTATAGCTGTGGAAATGGAGCTGAGGACTCTCCATGTTGAGAATGACCAAGAATAATATCATCCTCACCCAAGCCCATATACATCACTGCTGCTGCTCAAATGGACAGAAGCCACTGAAATGGAATGAGTTTACCCAGAACTCAGCAAAAGGCCGTATCACTCATGCTTTGTGGTTACAGAAAAGTTATCTATTATGGAACAGTATAACACTAGTCTCAAGGCCATAGTATAACTTTTTAAAATAAAATAATAATATCCTACAGTTTACCAAGTGCTTTTACATTCAATATTATATTTGAAAAGCTATTAGGGAGGCAGAGAGAAGTATTGTTCCCATTTCACAAATAACACAGAGGCTAACTTTCCAAGATCACACAGCTGTGGAAAACAATTTAACATAGTGCTTGACAGCGTATACTTAGAGTCAAAGAGCTAGGTTCAAATTCTGTCTACACTACATCCTAGCTGTGTGGCACTGGGAAAGTTATTTAGTCTCTTTAACTTTTCTCTTCTGTGAAATTGTTGTAAGAATGACATTTAACACTACAGCATAAAATAAGTGCTTTACACTAAATTCTGAGTAATCTCTCAAGCTGTCGCAGAGGCAAATGAAGGGAGTAAATGATGTATGTTTTTGTTAACAGCCAATGTAATGCGACAAAAGGAGACACTAACTAACAAGAAAATGTTTGCAAGCTTTATTCAGCTAAAAGAAGTATACCAGAGCAATTCTTGGTTTGGCCTACTGATTACTTAATTCTTTGAGGCATAAAGGAATGAATAAGGTGCACTCTTTCCCTGAATACAATTCTCACTAGCAAGGAAGAACCAGGGCATTGGAAGAGGAAGATTCCTTTCGAGTTAACAACATAGTGATGTCATTCCTTAATCAGCACGCAAAAGGTTACTCATCATTAGGTACATAGCCTACATGACAGAAAGATGGGTTTTGAACACCCTGATTATATAGGGTTTGATTTTCAAATAAAAGGTGACTCACTGAGATTAAAAAGTACTTAAAGACGCCAGGTGCGGTGGCTCACACCTGTAATCCTAGCACTTTGGGAGGCCAAGGCGAGCGGATTGCCGGAGCTCAGGAGTTCAAGACCAGCCTGGACAACGCGGTGAAACCCCATCTTTACTAAAATACAAAAAATTAGCCGGGCATGGAGATGTGCGCCTGTAGTCCGAGCTGCTCGGGAGGCTGAGACAGGAGAATTGCTTGAACCTGGGAGGTGGGGAGGTGGAGGTTGCAGTGAGCCAAGATCACACTACTGCATTCCAGCCTGGGAGACAGAGTGAGATTCCATCTCCAAAAAAAAAAAAAATACTTAAAGATATGATTTAACCACACAATCACAAATCTTTCCCAAGGAAAAGAATAAGATACTTTCAAAGACTAGCATGGCTATCAAAGGAGCCTTGTGATAATTCAGCTTTTCTAAGGGTTTGGATAAAATATGAAAAGGATAACATAACATGGCAAAAGCAAATTTTATTAATCAAAATGTTACCAAATAATATGAATGACTCAAAGGAAAAGAGAAGGTACGAGTAGCAAAGGAGCTAGTAACGTCAGAAGAAGAATATAATTTAAAAAGGAAACACCCAAAAGTAGAAATGAATTAAGGTTCCAAAAAGAGAAGATCCCCTTGTACAAATGAAGTAATGGCTTTGTCAAGCTAAGTAACTCAGGTATGGAAAAGAGGCGACATAAGGGAAGCAAGGATACCAAGCCAGAAGGAGAATAGCCCAGGAATTATGAGTAAGAGCTCTGCATCAGACAGATCTGGATTTGTATCTTGGATGTACGAACAGAGTTATCTCTCCTAGATAGTTTGGACATTCAACACCTGATTGTGGGGTACAAATCACCTATCTTAGTTGTATGGGCTGCAGCATGTTATTTCTCTTTGATTCAGTCTACTCATCTGCAAATGAGAAGAATGAGAGTAATAACCACATGGGCTTGTTTTGGAAGGATAAATAAATCTTTTAATTCAATGTTTTTGGGGGGTTTTGTGGGACACTGTTTCAGAGCATGGAAAAAAAATAAGGAAAATAAATTATTTTTATGAAGCAAGTGAAAACTTGATAGTAAAAACTTAATAGCAATTATACAAAAGGAAAAACTATGGATAAATCATTTTTGTGGATATGGATGTAAATCCTAGACAGATATTAGACACAACAGCTGAAAAAATGAAATTATGATCTTGGGTATGACTTATGAGAAAAATGCTAATTCTCCCCAACTCTTGCTACAAAATTAATATAATTGTAAAAACATCAAAAGGAATATTTTTAAACTTGGGAGCTGATCTGAAAGTTCACATGGAAGAACAAACAAGCAAGATATTCATAAGAACAAAATCCACAAAGGAAGATCACTAGGTAAGAATGGCATGGAACACTGCAAATACTAAAATGCATATTATACATTTGATATTCTTAAATAGCTAGCAATAATACAGTAGCATATAGATGCTAATTAATAAACAATGAATTAATGGTACAAAAGAGAAAGTCAAGAACAAACTCAAATATACATGTATCTTATTTTGTGACAATGAAAATACGTCAAAACATGAATTGTGTTGGAACAGATAGAAAAACTAAAATTGGATCTATATCACATTTGCTCTAGGATAAATTTCATACAGATCAAAAATTTAACTGGATAGATAGATAATTAAACAATAATGAATTAGAAGAATTTCAGATAAAATACTTTCATAAAGTCAATACCATCATAATGACACAAATCTCATAACCATAGAAGCCCCTGATAAATTGTGACCGTGAACAAGCAAACCCTGTCAACAAAACAAATCCTAGAGGTCAAAAACCAACACAAGCAAACTTACACAACAATAAAAATGGGTAAAAATATTTGCAAAAATATTTCCTACCATAAAACTCTTATAAATGAATAGTTAATAGATGAGAAGAGCAAAACACAGAAAGTGACTAAAAGACAGGACTAGCGAGCTTGAAGATATAAAATATATTCAATGGTGTCTTCATATAAAAGGAATGCTCAGCTACACTGAAACACCTTTTTTTTTGCTATTTGACTGATAAATATCAAAACTTGAAAATATCATTGGCAATTATTGTACAACAGGCATGTGTGTACATTTCTGGTGAGCATGTCAACATGCACCACCTCTCGGGAGGACAATCAGGCAATAAATTCACCACAGAAAAAATAGCCATGTCCTTGACTAAACCATTCCATTTCTAGAAAATTATCTTGCATTTAAATTGTAGTATATTCATTGTAGTATATTTTGAAATAATGAAAATAAATTAGAATTTCAATTGATATGGTCTAAATTTCCATTTATAATGAACTAGTTAAATAATAATTTACATTCATATGATGGATATTTTACTGTAATGTCTAAAATAGATAGCTGTAAAAAATAGCAAAGCTATTTACATACCAATATGTAATGACTTGAGAGAAAGGTTGTTGAATGAAGAAGAGCACAGAATAAGGAATACAGAATATCCATGGGTGTGGTCTAAACGTCCATAGATATGGAACTGGTTAAAAATATATGATATGTCCATACCATACCATGAAATATTACCAATGTATATGTAATGAACTCAAGAGATATGCTAATTGAAGTGAAATGTATTTGTTTTTAAAAAAGAAACATGATAAGATTACCTAAACATGTTTGTGTGTATAGATAATATCTTTTGAATAACATACAGGAAACAGGTGGCATGTATTAATTCTTCCAAGGAGAGCTGAGTGGCCGACAGAGCAAGTAAAAGTGAGACGTTTTACACCATGCTTTTTGTTTCTTTTGAACTTTGAATTTTTGTTCTTTTGAACTTTGAACTAATGAACTGCTTACTGAAAAATTTAAAATTATTATTTTTATTATTGAATAAATGTAATAAATAATCTATTGACATTTAAAACAATTAAATGAGATACTACAGGTTAAGCACTTGGCATAGTGTCTGACATTTAGTCAATAATAAATGTTAGCCATTATTGTTAATTTGCATTTAATATGAAGTATGAATCTGAGAACATAATTGGATTTCATGATAAGGGGCTGCAGATATAATAGATTCTGTGACATACTGAATACAAACTGCCATGTGGGCTTAATGAGGCATGGCACACGGTAATGGAAAGATAATTAATTTAGGAACAAAACAGACCAGGTTTGTACTCCAGGGTGGACAGTTAATATATGCTTGACTTTGAGGAAGTTATTTACCTTCATCAGCCTTAGGTGGTTGTTGTGTTTTTGGGGTTTGCTTTGTTTTTTTAGTGAATGTAAAATAGGGATAATAACACTTTGTCATATAGGGGATGTGAAAACTACGTACAACTTTTGTAAAGTGCTTAGCATTTTCTGTGACATAAAAGGAACTTGATTCATGGTAACTTCTTTTAAAATTCTAAAAATATTAAAAGTATTTCCTTGATGCAGAAATTAAGATGTAATATCAAATATAAGGGCAACTATCTAATGTTTTAAAATAATGGAAACAAATGTATATAAATGTATTAGGGAAATTTTTGATATTCTCCAGATGTGAAATTAGGTTAATCTGAACCAGAAACAAAGCAAAGTATTATTTATCTAACTGCTCCCCATTCTGGAGAATCCTGGAGTGCTACCCAGAAATGAAACAAATGTGTATCAGTCACATGGAATGAGAAATATTCCATGATATAGGTTATAATTTCCAATCATCTTTGGAAATATTTTCTTAATACCTCTACGGTCAGAACTCCTTGGACAAAAAAACATACAAAAGACCATTGAGTACATATACTCATTGATAAGGCCTTTTTAAAAATTAGAGTATATTCTTTTGAAAAAATTTACTAGAGCTCATGTTGTATTGGTCAAAAAAACTTACAAATAGAAATTTAATTCCTAATGGTATTTAAATTTTATCTCCTCTAAGCAAGACAAAACCACTGATACTAAATAATAATGATAATAGAGTTTCTCCATATGGCTCTTGAGTAACGGCCTTGAGAGAGACTGCAGGAGCTGCCTTCTGACCAAGGAACAGATGGACAGCATACCAAAACGTCTGAGCTTGGGTCTCTGACAGAAGCTACTGTAGTTAGCATCATCCACCCTCCCCAAATCTTAAACTATTCCTTTGACTTATTTACGGGAGACGCCCAGGCTTGGTGGGGGTGAGGTAGGCGATCAGCAGGACTTGTTTTCTGAGCACCAGTCATGACCCTGCTGATTAAAACAGAATCTCATCAAAACAGTATGCAGTCAAGAAACCAGCCACAGTCAGTTTAACCAAGAAGATGATGAACGAGACTGCTAGTTGGCTCAATGCTCATTGTATGCTCATAATAATTCATTAGCATGCTAAAAGACATTCCCGCCAGTGCCATGAAGGTTTACAGATGCCATGGTAATGTCCAGAAGTTACCTTATATGATCTAAAAGGGAAGAAACCCTCTGTTCCAGGAACTCCTGCCCGTTTTCTAGAAAATTCATCAATAACCCACCCCTTATTTAGCATATAATTAAGGAGTAGCTATAAATAGAGCTAGTCAGCAATCCACAATTGCTACTCTGCCTAGGGAGTAGCCCTGCTCTGTCTGTGGAGTCACCAATTTCCTTTGTCTGTTGCTCTAATAAGCTTGCTTTGCTTTCACTTTACTCTGTTGTCTTGCTCTTAAATTCTTTTCTGGGTGAAGCCAGGAATGGGCTGAGGCCCAATTTTGGGATTCGCCTGCATCAGGAGGAAGAGGGGAGAAGGGTGTCCAGGAGAACACTTAACAAAACATCTGTTGCAGTCACATCAATTCGAAACAAATGCCTGTACTACCTAAGTGTTCAGCCTTGAAAGCTGTATGAGATACACAGTAACCCTTTTCAGAACAATTATACACCACAGCTCCTCAGCCAGTTCCCATGAGTGCTGACAGATTTACATCTCAAGCACTGAAAGATTTGGCTCTTCAGATTCAGGGTCCCCCTAAAATCAGAGGACTCCCTCAGCAGACAGCAGGCACAGCCCAATCCAGAAGTGTGGTGAATTTAAGGATCCCTGGGGGAAACTTTCAACCAGTGGGGTCTGGGTACTGAGAAGGGATGTGAGGGGTAAATGCCCCAAGTATCCATCTTTGAAGGGATAATTATGAGGCAAGTTCTACATGGTTTCTTGAATGGATGAACACCAAAGATGACGAGCTCAATAACGCAGACTGGATTGGCTTTTCCTCTTTTCCTGTCTTATTTCCCCATTTTAACATTGGCTTCCTGGGACCGACTTTGTAAATATCTACCCATGTTCAGGTCTTTGTCTTGCATTCTGCTTTCTGGAGAGTTCAAATAAAGACTGGATTGATTTGGACTAATAAAAAAGAAAAGCAATAAGTGGTATTTTCTTATTTCCTTTCCTATTACTGTCAACTGTAAAGCATAGTGGATTTTTAAGTACTTGGTTTTTAGTATTCAATTTGAGCAGATCATATTATAGAAAAATGAAATAGGGAGTTTTGATGTCAAGAGTCGATATTTGACTCTTCACATCTGGACAGAACTTGCCAAGTCTTAGTATATGAGCCTTGGAAATTTTTATGGAGGAATAACTGCAAATAGAGGTGTTTATGTACCAAAGACACCACTATACTATTTTTGGCAGATAAGCCTCTTTCACTCAATGAATGACCTCTATTCTTGTCCACAGGACAATATTAATTTTTTTTTTTGCTCTGGGCAGGAAGTATAAAACCAATAATCCTTTTCAAACAGATCCCTTCCTACCCTCTTCCTACCCTGGACCCTAGAATGTACCAGCACAACCAAATATACAACATATTGAACAAAAAATAAGTTCATTCATTGCTGTCTGAGATAACACTAAATTTCATTGTCAGTATCACCTTTAAAAGGATCAAATACAACCAGGCATATATTATAGAGAAAATTAGAAGAATATGGGCTTGTATGTCACATCATGTAAGAATTAAGAAACTGAGAATATTTATCTTACAGAAGGTAAGTCTCAAATGAACATAGCAGCCTTTTCAAAAGAATTATACCTGTTCTGAATAGCATTAGAGGAAGAATCAGAACCAAATACATGAGTTATAAGAAAAATAACCTGGGCACAGTAGAAGCAAGAACTTCTGAGAACCAAAGCATTTCAAATGTGGAATAAGTGGCCAATGGAGCTATGGAGATCCTTACAAATGAGAATGTTCAAGCAAAATCTAGGTGACTGGCAATCGGCAATAAAATTACAGAAGACAGACAGGCATGAGATTGGAATAGTGGTTTAAATAGATTTTAAATTCTCTTCCAACTTGCAGAGTCTATGATCTGAAACTAGTTGATTAAATTATTAGTTAACCAAAATCTGTTAATTTGCTAAGTTGTCAATTACACATTACTGTACCTTTACAACACAAAGAACACCTTCATTAGTTTCTTTGTCTGTGCTGATTTTGAAATGTCCGTTTTCGTTTCCCTTTAAAATGGTAAAATTGACTCTCCAATTGGCAGTATTAATTAAATCCTTATCTTCTACAGGTATTCGTAAGATTTCTACATTGAATGCATTTTCCTCTACAAATGCCTCATACTGAAAAAGAAAAAAGTCATTGAAAATTAAAATTTTACTAATTTTACTTTATAGACAACTTTTACAAAAAGAAAAAGTTTCTTCTATTCCAAAAATACTTTCCATTAGAATTTTATATAGATTATTTTAAAACTATGAATCATAAACACTATTGTTTCATTAAGGGTTATCTTGTAAATAAAAGAAGTTTCATTACAAATGAAGACTGATGTTACTGCCCTTTAACAGAAGGGAGATAATAGGAGCACCTATATTAATAAATAAAATAAATTTACATATCATTTGTTTAAACTTTAATTTTATTCATAAAATATATATACTTCAAAGTATGATACTTTATGAAGTATTAATTTTATTAATTCAGTTTAAATAAAAAATGACAGCAGATAAGACAGAGGCAGATTTTGATATTATATACTTACAGCATTTTGTCTGAAAGTGGGTGCATTATCATTTGAATCTGTTACTGTTATGATACAAGTTGATGTGCCTATCAATCCAAAAAACTGGCCATCCATGTCTTGTACTTTCATTATCAATGAGTACTTGTCTACAACCTGAAAACAAAGCAAATATTTAACTAGTCTTGAAAAATTTTTGTTAGATTTATGAATGAAACCTCAATTGTACTCACTCACTCACATGCACACACATCTATGTATGTCTGTGCTTTCCATATTTGCACAGACTCTAGCAATGTGGTAGACAAGGATAAAACTGAAGAGGCAGGCAGAGATTAAATTACAAAGACCCATGGCCGGGCGCGGTGGCTCCAGCCTGTAATCTCAGCACTTTGGGAGGCCGAGACGGGCGGATCACGAGGTCAGGAGATCGACACCGTCCTGGCTAACACGGTGAAACCCCGTCTCTACTAAAAAATACAAATAACTAGCCGGGCGAGGTGGCAGTCGCCTGTAGTCCCAGCTACTCGGGAGGCTGAGGCAGGAGAATGGCGTAAAC